CCGAACATGCTGAGCATGTTCGGCCGACCCAAAGCCATGTGAAGCAAGCCGATGTACGGCTGATTTCTGCCGATGTATGACTGAAATCAGCCGAACCAGCCCGAAGTGAATAGCCGAACAGTGTTCGGCTCACTTCACTTCAGGCCGGTCATTCACTCGGCTGCCTACGCCAGCTTAATGTGGGGGGTACCCTACTCTTTTTAACTTGTGTTTTCTCTATATCCTGGGTTACCAATTCCTTAAAAACTTTGACATATTTGTAATTATTAATGAGGGGAATAAAAAGTGATTTGTTAAGAAAGTGTGTATGGATAAGCTTTGAGTTACCGTTGTTCACTCCATTCGCTGGGGTTGACAAAGTATTTTTTTAGATTTAATCTTCTAATTAATTTATGTCCTGAGATGAAGGTCTCACATTTGTTCAATTGTTTAGGTAATGCATATATTAGTCCTTGGTCGAGTACTACCATTTCTTCTCGTGTCAAATTCACTGAACTTAAATGAAAAACTCCTTCCAGCGTTTTCTTTTTACACCGTTTTGTGGCTCTACAGCCCCTCTGCCTTCTTGTTCCCATCTTGGGAAAAAAAGACACATCAGTGCTTCTCTCCTTGGCGGCCAGGAGCAGGAGACTCCCAGAGCGCCCGGGAGAGTTTTTTTTTTTTTTTACAGCAGCAGAGCCGCCGGACAATAGGAAACTATTGGGCGGAGCTAGCTGTCACTGCTAGCTCCGCACAATTGTTTTCTATTTACTTTTTTTGACTTTTTTCACTCTTTTACTGTTCTGCTCAGTCCCTCAGTCCCTGAAAAAACAGTGTTTCTCTCCTTGGCCAGCCTGAAGTGAATAGCCGAACAGCGTTCGGTAGACATGTGCACTGCCAAAAAATTTGTTTAGTTTAGTTTCGTTTTAAATTCGGATTTGTGTTATTTCGTTTTTCAGGATTCGGGTGTGAAAGTCAATTCGGATTCGGAATTCGGATTCGGACGAAATTCGGTAGCGTTCGTACGAACGTTCGTTTCGTTTTCTGTTCTTATTCGTTTCGTATTCGTTTCTTATTCGTTTCGTTCGTTTGCAGCAAAAGTGACATTTGAGGGGGAAAAAATATTTTTCTCCTCTAATGTCACTTTGCTCCAACGAACGAAACGAATAAGAAACGAATAAGAAACGAA